ATCCAGTGGGCAATCCTTGCCTTTACCTCATTGGAACTACGAGTAGTGTCTATTACAATCACTCTCTTCACTTGTGTGACAGGACACAGTATCTTAGTTGCCTCAGAGGTTGCTTCTTTTCAATCTTGTTAGTGCCTTTTCCTCCTCCTAATGCACCAGCCCAATCTGGCTTACCTTTTATGTGCCAAAGTTTTGAGTTGTTTTTCAGCTGCCAAAGACCCCAAGGTTGTAGGTCTCATAACCAGAGCATGCCCAAATGAACCAAGTGTAACGATGGGTGGAACCCAAGTGCTCACGCCCAAGAGCAGGGAGGGGCTGAATTAAGCAGCAGACTCTGCTAAAAGGATCCAGGATCTGATGAGATTGTGCCTTGGCATCACCCCATGGCAGGATCCAGTCAGAGCATGTCTCCTGGCCTCACAGTCATTGTGAGATCCTTATCAGATCACACCTCATTACTCTGTCTATAAAACCAGCTCAACTGCCTTGTTTGGGGACACACTACTTCAGGAACTAACCCCAGCATTCTCCTAACTTGTGCCAAATAATAAAACCCTCTTGCCATCACCAACTCGGCTGTGTCTACTGACTTCATGGCCTCCACTTGAGCGACCCTCCACGTGGCGGGTAACACTAACCTCCAGTGGTGGGTAGCTCCAGGGCTGACTCCTTGGTGATTGTCTCTGCTATATTCTCACTCACTTTCTTGGTGGTATCATGCAAGGTCATGGTTTAAGTTAGATGTCCACATGCATGCTGATGACTCCAGCCCAGATCTCCCTCCTGAACTTCTGCTCATAAAATGCCTACAAAACATTGCTACTTGGACATCTAACAGGAACCGCAAATTCAGCACATATGCAACTGACAGAACCCCTGATTGACCTCCATGTCGATTTTTGTTGTTGGAAATTCCATCTTTCCACTGGCTCAAGTTAAAAATCTTGATATTATCCTTGATTAAAAATATATTCTGTAGGGTACCTCAAAAGTCGCCATATATTTGTGGAAAATGGGAAATCGTAGCCAAATGTACCTTTAGTCATAAAATGTTACAAAAGATTTCTCTATGTATTGATAAATAAAAATATTAAAGGCTGGGGGTGGTGGCTCATGCCTATAATCCTAGCACTCTGGGAGGTTAAGGTGGTTGGTTTGCTTGAGCTCAGGAGTTTGAGACTAGCCTGAGCAAGAGTGAAATCATCCCTAATAAAAATAGCTGGGTATGGGGGTGTGTGCCTGTAATCCTAGTTATTTGGGAGGCTGAGGTAGGAGGGTCACTTGAGACCAAGAGTTTGAGGTTGTTGTGAGCTATGATGAAGCCACAGACTCTGCCCAGGGCAATAGAATGAGACTCTGCTTCAAAAAAAATTATATATATATATACACATACATACATATATATGTATTGTTAATATTAATATATTTTTATATATTAAAAATATATAATATATACAAACATGATTTTCCTATGTATGGCAACTTTGGGGACAGCTTGTACTTCTGTCACAACAGAAATCCTATAGCCTCTTCCTTCAAAAATATTAGAGCACAAAAATACATCTGAACTTGTGACTCTACAACTACTGCCCTGACCAAACGTGCCCGGTTTCACTCTCTGCAATGTCCTGATTTGAAAATAGATAGTTGCCCGAATAAAAAGCCCTCCAGGATCTCACGCTGTCCCCTGGTGTTACCATTAGCCCTCATCTGTTACTTTCCCTGGCCCTGAGTCCCCTCCAGCCACACGGGTACCCTTGCCAACCTCTGGGAAACAAGGCAAAATCCCTGCTTTGGTCATTTTGTTCTAGTTGTTCTCTTTGTCTAGAATGTTATTCTGCCAGGTATCCTCATGGCAATTCCCTCACTTCAAGTGTTTGCCCATTTATTATTCCCTGAGACCCCTTACTTAATACCTTACTGAGCCCGTCCCTGTACCCCTCGTCCCACTTACCCTGCTCATCCTTATTCCGTCTCCATCGCACTTACCACTTTTCAACATACTATATAATTTTAGTCATTAGTTCATCTCATTTAATACGTTGTCTCCCTCCACTAAAATGTAAGCTCTATGAGTACAAGGCTTTTGTTATTTTGTTTACAATGTATCTCATGGGTAGAGTATGCATGAGTCCTTTGTAGGTGCCCAATTCATAACTATTCAATGGAGAAATAAACACACAGACTAGAACAAAGAGAAGTCATTGTGCTCTCTTACCTTAGACATCGGTACTTACTGTCCTAGTCACAGTCCTGCTTGAAACAGGCACGGCCAAAAGTCTAACTTTAGCTCAGCAAAACCTCTTCTCCCGTCCTTCCTAGGCAATAGGTTAATGATAGACACATAGACTGAATGGAGAAAGTCTGAAATTATTAAAATTTTAGAACTGGAAAGCAAAGCAAGAGATTGCAGTATTCTTAATGACCTGGCTGCAGAGAGAGATGCCTGGCACTGAATCTTTGCTACTTAGCGATGAACTCAGTTCATTTTAAAACTCGCTGTAGGTTTGAGTCAAAGGAATCCCTGACCAATACTGCCACCTACTGATATGTAGGGGAGAAGTCGGGACAGCAGAAGGTGCAACGTACTTTAGTGAAAACTCTGACAGGAAAGAATAATGAAAATACCATGAAGTCTGTAATATAAACTGCTCTTCCCAAAGAGTTTACATTCTTCCATAAAAGAATTAAGGAAGAAGAAGAATTCACAAGATTATGTGAATGCAAAAAATTACAATGATCTCCTCTGGAAAAGAGGAACCATGACAAATACGTTGACAGTCTTATATAAATCCCAACTCCTCTACTTTTCACCAGCAAATTCCTTAAGAGTTAAAATATTTGGGACTCAATGCAAATATATTTGTTTTTATTTTCTCTTGAACAAAAATGAGTGAAAACAAATGTATCCTGAGATTAAAAATTCACAAGAAAAAAGTCACAGCAAAAGCACTGGCTTTAATACCAGGACATGTATACTTAAGACTCTACACTATCAAGTTTTCCTCTTTAGAAGTGTAGATGGGAGGGGGTTGTATTTAAATGCAATATTGTTCAATATCCATGGCCTTAGGTTCTGAGTTCTAAGAAGAACTTAAAATAAAATGACATTTTCTTGACCCAGATCTGGTACTTTTTCATAATCAAAAACCTCTTGTGTTCCCCTACCCAATCCAGGTAGGTAGTAAGCCTGGTGAAATTGGTTGGCATATGCTTTAGAAAACCTTCAATTTAAATCATCATCTTCACTGCTATCTTTTCTTGAAGTTGTATACTCCATAAAATGTTTTACACACTTAATTTTTCTTTTATATTGTTGTTTTCATCACCCCATTAATAAAGCATCATATTTCTAATTGCAAAATTAATACCTATCGTCAAGCCAGAAACACAATAAACAGTGCTTTGAAAGTCCTCAAGAAGAAATATTGGCAAAAAGAAAAAAAACTAAGGAAGGAAACAAGTTTCTCTCTCCTCCATGTGTTTCCACTTTCAAAATTATACAGGAGCTGAAGAAACAAAAGGATAGAAATGACCTTTAACAACAATAAAAGCAATCCATTTGTCAACCACAAATAATATTCCTGGAAAAAAGAAAGAACAACCAGAGACTCATGAACACACCGAAGGGAAAGTAATGATGCCAAGAGGAGATAATTTCAAAAAAGACATTTAATTAGAAAATTTCCTTTTAAATAAAAAAGCAAAATGGCACAAATCACCACAAAATTATTATTTAAGCGATTGTATCCACAGGCTGCTCTTGTAATTATATGCTAAAAATTTACGACTGTCCTCATTGACAGCATTTTCTCTCCTAATTGGAATGACATGAAGAGCTTCTGAGAATGTGTAATTTTTCCTGAAGAACTACTAAGAGTATCATAAACACAGTGTGGGCAGCATCCATGGACATCACCTTTTATTTACTACACTCTAAACTCATAAAACATTTAACAGTCGGTGCTTCCTTCATTTCTCCTATTTACAGTACAAAAGCTCCTCTCTCGTCACGATACGGTTGGTGCATTCAGATCCCTGGGAAGGGGACTTTCCCCAACATTTAATAAACTGACTCTGATCATTTAAAATAAGTACCCAAAGAACAGCTTGTGCACATAACTGTGTCATACCCAGAAGAGCAACTCCTCCGGTAGACCTATTCAGGAATAAAACAAATATCCCTCTTTAAGTAGAGTATGTTATTCAACCACTGCTGGACGATAGCACCCTGCATGTTTATAATGCTCGTGGGACCACAGGGAAAGCCACCTAGGACTTTCTCCATTCCGTTTGGAAGAACACAGCAGACACAGAGTGATCTGGCCCTCCCTCGGTTTGTACATATCATCCAGTTATGTCACGTGCGTGCATTTTGTTTATTCTTGGGATATCAGGATTTAATGGTTGAGTACTAACGGGCAGTTTCTGGCCATCCCCTTTCCTGGATGGAGGATACAGTTCCAGGCACATACGTCAGATGAACTGAAAAAAAAAAATGCAAATCCCCTCATGTGATGCAGCAGGAAGCAGCAGAGTGTTGTTACTGGAACAAATGATTCAGAGTTGAATACTAACATTCCAGCAACAGGAATCCTGGGAAATTAGCCATGTTTTACCATGTGCTGTCTTCCCAGCTCGCCAGGTCTGGTATTCACCTTTGTCTTTAAAAAGCTAACCTCCCTGGGGGAAGGCAGAGGTGAAGCGGTAAGGAAGGGAAGCAAGCAAGCATTACGGGCCGGGTGGTTGTAGGAGGAAAAAGTGAGTAGAAAGAGAAGATAGTTTCATATTAAAAAAAAAAAAAGGTATCACATGTGGACACATTTCAAAGAGCGTATAAAAATAGCCCATAAGTTAATGAAGCCTCTTTCTTCTCACTCTGCAAATACCTGTTTTATAATAATAATATTAATAACAGTTAACATAATTCTGGCAGCAGCACAAATCTATAACTTTTTTAAGGCTTGAGAGTGTCACTTTTTAATAGTTGGGTACAGTTGAAGAAGAGTCCTGCCATTTCTTTTCTTTACATGCTTGACTCAGCAAGAATGATGACAGAAGTCCGCAGGTTGGTGAGCTGCCCCTTGGTCAGTCCTTACAATGGCTTTGACTTTATAACCCACTCGGCATTCGGATTGAGCTGATACAAGTCCTTCATGTACGTGTCATCATCCAGGCAGCGTTCCCCTGTTAAAGAGATGGTGTATCGGTTTGATTTGGCAGGTACGGTGGGATGCAATTTTAAACTTCAGCCTAACGATTTAAGTCTTAGACTTCAAACTCCTTCTCATTGTTTCCTGTTTCTCACGATATCAGAAGAATTGGCCAAAATATTTGAAAAGTCAGTTGGACAGTCTTTCTCTAAATGAACAGGTTCCAATTAATTTAGGAAACTTAAAATAGTTTGGATGAAGGGCTTTTAAATGGTTTCTAAAAAGCTTATTCACCTTTATTAGTACAGGCAACAGTTATAATCCACCTAAGAAGTTATTCTTCATTTTCAAGGTCTATTAGTAAAGTGAACAATTAAATATTCATATCTAAATAATCTTTCCTGATTACCAATTCCAGATTTCTAGTGGAGTTGTGATTTGTTTAAATTTTAAGAATGAGTGTTCACATTTCTGTACTCTACTTTCAATATTTACTAACAGCTTTAAGTCCTAGAAAAAAATTCTACAGTGACCGGGTGCGGTTGCTCAGGCCTATAATCCTTGCGCTCTGGGAGGCTGAGGAAGGCAGACGGCTTGAGCTCAGGAATTTGAGGTTGCTGTGAGATATGGTTCCATGGTAATCCAGCCTGGGCAACAGAGTAAGACCCTTTCTCAAAAAATAAATACATAAATAAATAAAAATCTGTAAAACATATCTTAAAATTACTTTCAATTACTATTTTGAATTCAACATTTCTCAACAAGTTTGCTCTTATCATTTTCAAGAATCAAAAAAAGAGAAAAAGTTTATTTTCAATGTTAAAAGAGACGAGTAAGAACCACCAATAAGGGCAAAAAAAATCATAGAACGCAATCGAAATGACTTGATTCTATTTTTATTTTCTGAATTAAAATAAATAATGTGGATGTGCAGAGAAAATGAAGAAATCAACTATGGCAAAAATTGATCTTTTTAACTAAAATAATAAGGTGCTATCTTAGTCTCAAATACAATCAATTACTTCCTTTATTATGATGTGGCTTGAGTGAATGAAAAAGAAGTTCTGACAAACTTGCATCGTTAACCATCCTAGAAGTTATTTCTAGCACACAGGAACTTGCTTCTGCTGAGGCTGACCACAGATGGGCATTTACACAGGAGGAGCTCAAACGGGGCCTGAAGAGAAGGGTCAGACCATTAAACAAACCCAAACCCACAATATTCACCAGCTGTCGGAGCATCGAGCACTTGACTTCTGATTTCCTCTCTTTCCCCCCCCAAGGATATAAATAATAACCACAGGCAACGTCAAATCAGCACGTGGAATGCAGAGGACAAAATGTGCTTACCAATATTTCCCCCAACTTCATACAAGAAAACTTCTCCTTTCTTGAGTGTCTGGGCAACCCCGCTATTAAAGACAAAACAAACTGATTAGTTGTATCATCAGACAGCTTGCAAGTAAATCACTTTAACTTGCTTGGGGAATTCGGGCTGCTATGGAAAATTCATAACGTAGACACACCGCAATTATCTACGTATTTGTACTTTCCCATCTGTTAAATATGCTGAATAGGTAATAAAAGTGTCACACCTGTAAATTAAAACAAACACATAGAATTATACATCTGAAGGGAACACAATAAATCAGTAGCTAAATTTGGAAAATTAAAAAGAAAAGTTAACCTAACGCTTAGCTGCTGATCAAATTATTAGTATGATTATCTACTATGCCTAGGGGCCAAGATGGTCCTGGTAAAACCATAAAAAGAAAGGCCTCCAACGTAGTGTTTGTGTTGTGCTTTATTCGGTAAGGAGTTATCAAGGGTTTGCTGCGCTGACACCTCTAATGTGTGTAAGATGAATAAAAGAAATAAACATGCTCTGTGTTGGCTGTTCAAATGTGGGTGGTACACACGCTGAGCGTGGAAGTAAATTATGTCACTGTGAGCCCTGGACTTTACCAAGCAGGTGTGTTCCCAGATTCATACTCTACAAAGAGAAAACTTCTAGGACATTAGGTTTGAACATAAAAATTGGTAAAATTCAGAGGGTTTCAAATCTTTCTGTAAATGTATTACCTGAAAATTCATATCTAGAGCTTTAGGAACTCTGAGTTAATGGGTCTAGGATGACTGGCTGGGTGCTGAGGCTCAACGGTTAGAGTGTCGGCCCCAAGCACCAGAAGCCGCATGGGATGTGGTAGGAGAAAAAAAGACAAACATTTAATCAGAATTTCCCTTACTACATGGCCCCCGGACAGTGCTGTGTGCTGCTTAGTCATTTCCCTAAGTAATTATTATAAGCAAGGTCAGTCTATTATGGTCCACTCCGGCAAATGAGAAACTTGGGACTTGAAGGACTGCAGCCTGGGCTAATTTGAAACAGGAATTATTAGCCTCGGATGTCTGTCTCCAGCATCTCAAAGCATAAGGAAAGGGGAAAGAAGAGGTAAATGGAGAGAAAAGTTTCCCAGACTTCCCTCCGGTGAGGAAACAGAAGAGAGGAAGTGGAAGAGGAAACCACTCTAGGGGAAGCAAATGGTGTTTAATAAAAGTACTAGAGGCAGAAAATCCAAGTATGTGAAGGGCAGTTGTCACAAAGCTGAAGTCTTCTATAATAATGCAGCTACTATTGTTCCATGCTGTGCCCTGAGTATTCCTCACAGTTGAAGATACAATACGACTTTATAGCCACATCTCAGAGTATCAGCAAATAGGACAAAGGCATAGACTACGTTGAATACTTTGAGTCCTGAAAGCAAATACTGTGTCTAGTTGGAAGGTAGAAGAGCTGCTTCTATCTGAACTCTGGCCAGATCTTCAGGGACACGTTCTCCCTGGGGGGAAGAAGGGCAAAGTTGCCATCTACAAAGTCAAGACAGAGAGGAGAGAGGAAGCAGGCCGTCTTCCCTTGGGGGACCTAGGACACCTGAGGGGTTCTAACTGCTCCCAGGACTTGACCTCAAGGAATCCGTCTCCCAGACTGCACCAGTGGCTCTCAGACCTCTGATGCGCTCTAGACCTTTCCACCAGTATGAAGAGTGGTTAAGAAACTGCCTTTGGAGACAAAAACCACAGATAGACAATTCTAGACCTATGCAAAATGTGTGACCTTACAAATCTCAGCTTTCTTATCAGCAAAAGTAAGTCACAGTACTCACTTCAGAGAGCTGTTGTGAGGGAGGTTCTGCTGGTTTACGGAAAGCCCAGACATTACCACTAAGTATCTCTCCCATTACACCACCATCTGTTAGCTGCACGGATCCAGCCCTTTCCCAATTTATAAGCCCTGAGGGGAGATACTATAAAATATACGTTTGCACCTTTTCTTCCCATATCTGGCAGACGGCCTTAAACAGAGCCGAAACATATTAAATATTGTGGTACTGTATTAAAATGGGAGAGGCTTTGGCACAAAGCTGGATTGAAGCTCCCAAATATTAGGAGGAGATTAAATTTAACAAAAGGCCAAAACAGAGTATTCATAAACCAGATTTCTCTCTTTTTGAAAATTTAGATTACTTTGTTTCAAGGAGTGAAAATGGAGGTGGATAGAACAGGAAAACAAGAGTAAAAACTGAAAACTTGATATATTTGTTAGAACCTTTAAAATTCAAGGAAAGATGCTGCAAATGTTTGGAAAGCGCCTGCTCTAACAGAGTGAGGAGGGTGCTCACAGCTTTCAAAGGGCTCTCCCTGCCCCATCAATCCCAAAATAGAGGTCAAGGGCCTGCCCCTAACGAGGACAGGACGTTCTCTCCTCGGGACTTCAGAGCTCCAGGGACTAATGTTCTTTCTCAGTTCCATGGGTTTTTGTTTTTAAATTGAGTATCTTTTTATCCAGCATATTTCAGAGATTAAGTTGTGCCTCTTCTTTATTTCAATCCCACTTCATCCTAATTAGTAATTTTCCTTACCACCTACCAACAGTAATTAACCTCCAATCAACCTATTCTGGGAAGAATACCCAGGGCTCCTTTGCCAAGCCCATTGCAGGCTCGGTGAAGGAATGCTCAGAGGTTCTGTCCGAACCAGACTCAACCCGAACACCAACTACATCAAACGAACTAAACTCATCCCAACAGCCTAATTGCTAAGTCTGCTCTTCTGCTGAGAGGACAGAATTTTTAAGCACACTTCATACCACCCCATGAATAAAGGGAGGGAGGAGAGACAGCAGAAAGAAGAGGAGGAGGAGGAAGGGGAGGAAGTGGGGGGAAGAGGAAGTAGGGGGGAGAGGAAGAAGGTGGGCAGGAGGCAGGGAAGAGGGAGGAAAAGAAGGAAGGAAGGGGAAGGAGGGTGTAAGGGGATGAGGAAGGGGAGGGATGAGGAAGGGGAGGAGAGAGGGAAGGAGGCAGGGAAGAGGGAGGGAAAGAAGGAAGGAAGGGGAAGAAGGGTGTAAGGGGAGGAGGGAGGGGAGGAGGGAGGGAAGGAGAGGGATGAGGAAGGGGAGGAAGGAGGAAGGGGAGGAAGAAGGAAGGGGAAGAAGGGGAGGAAGGAGGGGAGGAGGAGCAAGTAAATTATACCATGGAATAATTAACACGAAACAGGCCTCTACCTTTCTTGGCTGAGAAACCTGGCAAGTACATCACTGGCTTTCAGTTCTTCAGTAAGCTGTATTGCCATGGAAACTTTGGAAAGATGGGGAGCTTGCACTCGAATCACTCCCTGAGGAACGTCAGCCTGCAAAGCAATAATGACACTGGAACAAAGCTGGCAGCAGCTGGAACATGTAACTCCGTACAGCGCATTATACGGCAAGTGTGCTTAACTACTATGCATTTTACTTCACTACATAAAAACCTTAACTACTGTATAATGCAATTTGCTAAATTACATCAAACCTCAAATATCCTCTTAATGGTGATAGGGGAACTTTATAATGCCTGTGCAGTAATGCTTAATTATTTTTAAAGATGTAAAGAATGACAGCAATAACCATTACTGCCATATTAAGTGCTGATTTCTGAGTATTATCTACTAGAGGGTGCTTCTTCATGTAGCCATTTATGAAATTGAATCGGAAATCATTGCTATCACAATGTGTACATTTCAGAAAACTTCCTGCACTTTCACCAAATTTCGCAAAAGTTATGTTGTCCCCGAGTGTTAAAATAAAAAAAAAGAAACTTTTCTAATGTATTTGTATTGTGTTTGTTTCCCATTCGTTTAATGAGCTTATGCTTTTGACTTTATACTTTGAACTTGCAATGATCAATTCTAATGGAACTGAATTGAAATGTTTTATAGATTTAGGGATATCAGTGAAAGTTTATGAGGTTTGTAATATCAAAATGTCAGCCATAGAATTCAAAATATTAAGCTTAATTAATTCCTAACTGGTTCTGCTAAAATAAATACTAATTTTTTATTTATATCCATATGCCTCAGACCTTAGAACAAACAGCATGCACAAACTATGTTTAAAGATTATTAAATACTGCAAACACCCTGGTGAACTGAGCTAAAATTTACTAAGCATCTCCTGAGTCCCGGATATTGTCCCAGGTCTACTTACTGAGTAGATAAACAAGAAACAAGTCTGTTATTGCAGAATATTGTTTTTCTGCCTACAACGCCATGTCTTTTTTAACCTACGTGGTTTTGCTTTTCATTTTTAAACACCAAGTACAGATATACCACTGATGTTGTTAATGGGCTTTCTTTCAAAGTTCAACAAAAATCAAATTCCTTTAGAATTGGGCTGCATATAAATGTAGATGCCTCCAGAAGACTTAATATTGCTTCTCAGTAATATGAGATATTTAGTGTCAGAATATCAAAGAAATGAAGCAACACTATAGAAGGCTTTGCAGGGAGCACAGGATGGGATGAGGCCTCAGACTGCAAACAACTGCCAGACCTGCGACAGTGCCAAGGAGGGCCTGACCGCCAGCCTCAGAAGTCCCGCTGCCCTTACCTGCACACTCCGTGGACAGCTACAGAGTGTACTTACCCAAACCTGGACAAAGTCCAGATCTTCTGCAGCTGCCCAGGCCAGATCCTGAGGGAGCAGGAAGTGCAGTCATTGTGTCCTTTTTTAAATTTTTGAGACAGAGTCTCACTATGCTGACCTTGGTAGAGTTCCGTGGTGTCACAGCTCACAGCAACCTCAAACTCTTGGGCTTAAGCGATTGATTCTCTTGCCTCAGCCTCCCAAGTAGCTGAGACTACAGGCATCCCCCCCAACACCTGGCTATTTTTTTGTTGCAGTTGTCATGGTTGTTTCACAAGCCTGGGCTGGGTTCAAACCTGCCAGCCTCAGTGCATGTGGCCGGTACCCTGACCACGGAGCTACAGGCACCGAACCCAGTCATTCTGTCTTTACCTAACCTCCCTTTCAGGGAGGATAATGTTCAACTTAATCCGTAAAAGATATCCTAAACTCTAGCCTCCCAATTCCAACCCCCCAGTTCCAACCCGTGCTCAGATTCTTTGACTCCTGCTCAGTCCTGCTATCCAGCTTGGACCTTTAGCTTGTTTCTTTGACTTCATCTTTCTGGGTCATGTGGCTTGGCTTGACACCTTGGTCTTTTCTATGGCTTCGACCTTCACCTTGCTCCTAGGATGCCAGTGTAGTTTAACTTTTTCCTCGGTTCTATGATAGACTTTATATTCATTTGTAAATATATGACTTTATATTCACTTGTATTTTACAAAATACAATGCTCCTTATAACGAATGAGGCATTGCATGTGGTAGTGTTACCTTTTTCTTTTCAGAAGAGTTATTAAACCAATGGTAGAGTTATCAAATTATAACTCAGGGACAATGGAAATGACTTCATGAACTTTTCTCTTGGGTTTGATCTCCAGCTTATTTCTCATAGTGGCCCTTCTCCCTGTTGGTATGGCCTCACCTATTTCCTCATAAGAGGTAAAAATAAACAGTAAGCTGATACTGACAACTTTAATGTCAGAGGGAAACTAGCATTGCAGACGTTGAGGCTGTGCCAGTGAACCTTCTTGTCTACCACGATGTTGGCAACTTTTCATTCCATCCGTTTTATCATCAGCATTGTTTGTGCAGGCACCTGGATGGCAGGCCAGGGTTTACAGATCTCCATGTGCTTTACGTCGATGTTAAAAGTTAGAAAATCCTGGTCGCCTTACAGTGTCAAATATCCTTATGTGTGTGTATGGGTTTTGTTTGATGAAAGTAATAGTGACAAAAATTGTTGCCACAATTACATTTTACCCAGCCCTAGAATTCAAAAGGCATCCAAATCTAAGCTGACATTTAAAGTCAAGTAAGGTGATATGATTAAGTTTTTATATGTAGAAGGTCCACATTAAAACCAGAACGATGCGGAAAATGACGTGTTACCACCGAGAGTTTAGGAGATGCCAACCTCAGCCTGCTGCTTTCACCCACTGTTCCCAACAGTACTTTCTACTATTTCAGATTTTTAAAAAGCCCGAATTTTGCTATAAACACCCCATACTTTTCCTATCTCTGTGTATGTCGTGTTCCCCTTCTGAAATATTTCTCTGCTATCCATTTTTCAAGGCCAAGTTCAAATACCTCATGGAATTTTCCATGATCCACAAGGTCAAAAGGAATTTCTTTGTTCTACTGAATCTGCTTTATGATTGGGGGAGGCGGGGTCCTAATATATGACACCTGTATTCTAGCCATTTGCCACATTTCTGTAGCCACACATCAATGTTATTGATGAAACGACTCACTGAGAAGTATTGTTTACTAGAAATGATACAGTGACAATTAAATTTCTCTAAAATAAAACAAAGTATATCAATGTACATTTCTTTAGTGACAAAAAATAATGTCAGGAATGCCCTCTAAAAGAGACAAGTGGCTTCTGTTCACCACATGACATTCCCTGTATTATCAAGAAAAGACAGGAAAGAAAAGTAAAGTGGAGGAAAGGAATTATTGAAGATGTTTCAAGAGACTAATTCAGTTATTTACTCTTGCAGAAACTGAAGGAGAAAAGCCAACATTAGCATGCATTTGGGGGGCAGTTTCCCCTAACTCGTGAAGAACAGAAGGCCTCTGATACATGTGACATGACCATAGCCCCACGCTTTCTAAAGGAGATCAGGGATCATAGCTTTGAAGAGTACAACTACCACTTTCTCATAAAATGCAGCACTGAGTGCAGGGTGGTGTCAAGATTTTGCAAGGACAACACATGGATCTGCCACCGAAATCCGGGGTCTTTCTGATAGCTACAGGGTTTTAAGGAATAGTCTCAGCTACTAGCTTCCAAGGGCACTTTTGAGGGTTCTCAGGTATACACGCAATGTTAAATCATTGCCATATTATGGGGCATGGGGACTGGCTTTTGCTAACATGGAGAGGCATGAGAATTTTCCCACAAGTTCCTTATGGCTATGCAATAAAGCATTCCCCACGTCCCTTCCCCCAGTGAGCGAGCATTCCCCTAAACTACTAACTAGAAGAATTTTGACTTGTTTCAAATTCAGCTGGAATATCAATGCCCTTGAAAAGCCATTCATTAGGCCAACAAGAACACATAGCACCTTCCTAAGCTGACGAGCTATATTCCCTGATAACTAGCAGACTCTAGCAGAGAGAGAGAGAGAGAGTGTGTGTGTGTGTTTCTGTCCATAGGTTAGGAATCATTCTTCGATGATTTATTTCTGCGGTAATTCATCCCACTTAAATTTGTACAATACAGAGATGGAGAGCCTGACTCAATAGGCATCACCCTCTCTATCTTTAGAGAAGAAATGATTTGAACTAGTAGATGCAATGGTAAAGATGAAGAGTTTAAAAGTTGTTTCTGGAAAGCTTTTACCAGAAACCTTGACAAAGAAGGCCAGATGATATTTTCACATGAAGATGACAGACAACAAACTGATGCCCAACCTCTCCTTTAAATGGTATAGGACAACCACTATTAAGTTCTAGAATCACGCTGTATCAAATGCTGAAGCTATTCGGATACTAACTACACTCAGCTGCCAGGCTTTGAAAAGACACAATATGCCTGATCAGTAAGCCAAACAGTCTGTTCTGAACTTGAGCCACAGTCAAAGCCAAGTCTGTGCTCCATGTAATCTTTGTAACCTTTCTATTTCACATTCTTCAGTGTAACATCTGTGACTGTATCCTACATTTTTTGCGGGGGATGGGGTTGAGGGAAGACTTGGGAACTGAAGTTAGGTGACACACAGCAAGGACTGGGAAAGAGCAGTATTTGACTAATACACCACTGAAGTTTAGTCACAGAGGATTTTACAACTTCAAGAGTGTTAATTTCTTATGCATGAGAATTATAACAGAGAAAATAATCTCACATGGTCCTCACATATTTTACACATTGAACCAAAGTACATTGTTTAAAATCTAATTTTATTTATTATCTGATTAAGTGAACAATGTTAGGGTTTCTCCCCCTCTAAAGTGTGTATAAAAACCACAGTTCATATTTTTGTGCTCTAAAGATGGGAAATTTAATGTCAAAGCTTTAGAACAGACATCGATTTATTTTTCTTTTACATTAAAGGCTCATTTAAATGTAAAGCTGACATTTTTAATGCTACAGAAAAATCTTCAAAAGAGCAAATAGGAAATGCAGTTTTTTGTAAAAGAAAGCCAAATGTAACACATATTTTAGAAAATCAAACAAGGACATTTTAGCAGGGTATCTTAAACTGAAATGGCACCTTTGTCACCTGAGTCTGAGTTGACAA